TTCCCAACTGATTTTAGGACGGCTGGTTTGAATTATCGTGTAGAAAATGGTTGCCGTCGCTGGAGCCGCTTTTCCAAGATTTGGCAGTTCAAATTTGCAGTGCGCGAAGTAATATATGGGCGTTGAGAAAATGTAAGTGTGGATAAAATTGCAAGATTTTGGGAAATGTAGGTGCGTTCGAACATAAAGGAGTGAAGAGCCCGGCTGGGTGGAAAGCGCATGCTTTTAGGGATATAATTGATGGGCAGAGATGTGGGTATCCAAATCGATCACGTGATCGATTTGGTAAAATAGGTGCTACGCCGATGAGTGGAGGAGATTTGCAGTTTGTTGAGCAGCCCTCGAGCACGGCGGCGAATTTCTGGAATAGTTCGGCAATGCACAGGTATCTTGAGGTTCATGTTGGTGTTGCACGGATGAAAAGATATTTTTGCGCACAGCAAAGATTTTTTTGGTAGGTCGTGGAGAAATGTGATTTCCATTGGAGATTCGCCACACGAACGAGAAGCTCTGATGAGAGTGACTTTAGGAAATATACCAACGCGGAGGACGGCCAACAGCTGGTGCGTGAGGGGGAGGAAAAAAGCGCGCGCCCGAGTGATCGATTATGTATTGTTGGATCAGGATGAAATCTGTCAAGTTTCTGTTGAAGCCGGACTTGACGCAGCTGGGGAATGAGATACAGTTGTTGACGGACTCGTTGGGTAGGGGGGGAGTCGAACCGGGGACCTTCCGATGGAAAAAGTGGAGAAATTTTATTATTTTTCTGTGGTGAAAATGATGGATTTTGGGGATATTTATTATATCTTGAGAGAAATTTCGATGATAAGATGAAAATTATGGTAGTTGCCGAAAAATTTCCGTAATTTTATTCTTTATTCCGAGTTTTTCTACCTAAAGTGGAAAATAAGTAACAGCTTTTTAATCGAATGTTTCCCGTTTTATTCAGAACACATTGTTAAGCACGACGGAGCTCTCGATCTCGAACTGCTCACTAACGAGGCTACGCCACCTGAGGTCGCAGTGGATGGGCGGAGCGAAGCGATTCAGGAATGTGAATAATCGATCACGCGATCGATAAAGATACGTCTTATAGTAGTATGTATTGCACGGTAGTGTATTGTTGGATTATTGGGAGGTTGAGCGTTAAGGAAATGCAAGTGGTGTTGAGTTTGCAAGATTTAATAGGGGAGTGGAAGAGTAAGGTGCATTTTTCGGTGTTAGGGAGATAATTTTTTTCATGTTGTTTTATGTTTGCAAAAAGATTCATCCTTGATGAACCTAAGATATGTGTTGGTGATTTTTTTCCTTTTTTTTGTGGGAAAATTGGAAAAAATTGGGAAAAGTGTGATGCGACTCAGAGGAATGAACACCGAGAGGAGTGTGTGCATCGTCGGAATGCTGGGAAGAACTCAAGGCATCGCCAGGCATTGTGGATGACAATTAATAACTTGCGCCAGATGCTTACGGTACCAATCTCAACAACAGTGGATCCGATATCACATCGTATAAACGTGCAAGCTGGCACGCAGACGCACAAAAAAGGTAGCAGAAGCCTTGGCAGAACACTACAAACTTGAAGGACTGAAAAATGGAGTTGTTCTCAACAAGCTTCTAACACATCCTAGTAAAGATGCTCCGTAGAAAGGCACAATACCATCGAAATGAGGAACGTTCAAGGAGGCAGTCGTCGCGCCATCGCGCCATCGCGCATAACTGTCCCGACTAGACTAGGGGGAAAATAGAGGGAAAGAAGGGGGAAAAAGAAAGGGGGAAAAGGGGGAAAAGAAAAGGAAGGAAAAAGAAAAAGAAGGAAGAGAGAAAGAGAAAAAAAAGAGAAAAGGGAAAGGAATCGAAGGTGCGAGACCGAATTTACTCAACCCAACAACATTAAGCATGATTGAAATGGCTGCATTCTCATCCATATTTTTCTATCCATTATTCTCTAAAAGAGAATAAAGCATTATTACTATCCGCACTGTTCTCACCATGA